AACATACATTAACCTCAAAAGCAGGTTTCCATGCGTTTTTGAAATTACGTTTGAAACAATAAACAAGTTCTAGTGAAAGTGACTGTTTCAAATTCACACATATCTATTTTAGCAGCCCTTGAAGAACCTGCTTTTACCTGGCTATAAATAAGCACATATCAGTGTGAGTCTACACAGCCCTGAGAAGTTATGTAACTTTGTTTTAGCTAGAAAAGTTTACATAGTGTTTAAAATGACTGTGATTTATTTATACTGTGTGGTGTTGTAGGTGCTGGACATTGGTGACAGCCTCGCCATCCCAGATGAGTTCACAGATGAGGAGAAGACGACCGGTCTGTGGTGGAAGCAGCTGTCAGCAGGGGCCATGGCAGGCGCCGTGTCCCGTACAGGAACCGCCCCGCTAGACAGGATGAAGGTGTTCATGCAGGTGTGTTAAAATGTTCTTTCTGTTGGTTGTCTGTCACATCCCCTCTGTCGGATTTAGGTGATTAACCTGTTCTTAAATGTATTTTATGTATTCTACCTGCTGCCTTTGATACTCTACGAATGTATTCACCTTTTAAAGTCAGGCTTACAACTGCAAGGTGTTTTTTTCATTTACAGGTGCATTCCTCCAAGAGCAACAAAATCAGCCTGGTTGGTGGTTTTAAGCAAATGTTAAAAGAAGGAGGCTTGATGTCTCTGTGGAGAGGAAACGGTATCAATGTACTGAAGATTGCTCCCGAGACTGCCATTAAATTTATGGCCTATGAGCAGGTAAATCTATTTTACTTCCTTTTAACTGCTAACAGTATACACCTCAGGCTCTGGAAACATTCATACACTATAACTCTGCAACATGATTACCCTAAATAGTGATTGAGTATTGATGCGATGCTCTCTTGTCACTGTGTTTTACTAGTATAAGAAGCTGCTGTCCAGTGAACCAGGGAAGGTCAAGACCCATGAGAGGTTCATGGCTGGATCGCTGGCTGGAGCCACAGCACAAACTGCCATCTACCCCATGGAGGTAAGCACAGGTGGAGGAATTTACAGGTGTATTTACACTATGTTTATGGTTTGTTTAGTATCTCAGTTTGAATAGCAGCATCAGATTAGAGAAAATTTATCTTCATATACTTTTAATGATGATAGTTATCTCATAATTTTCATCCTAAATAAGACCAAATCCTGTGCATTTCAGTCCAAACTGAAAATTTAGAGCACTTTAAGGAAGGTAAGGCAGACTTGAAGGTTAAGTAATAAGTAGAGCTACAATGAATAGTTGATTAATAAATTAGTTGTTAACTATTAAATTAATCTTTAACGATTTCTGCTTCTCAAATGTGAATATTTTCTGGTTTTGTTAGTCCTCTATGACAGAAAACTGAATATCTTTGAGTTGCAGACAAAACAAAACATTTGAGGACGTCACATTGTGATCAACATTTTCTTCATTTTATTGACCAAACAACTATCGAGAAATTTATCTAGACATTAACCGATAACATAGTGGAAACACATGCATTTTCACTGTCATTTATCACTATTATTTAACATATGTGAAACGTTGAGGATAGAAACCTAAAGCCCCTAAATGAACATCATAAGAACTACAGGACCAAGCCTAACAAAACTTGGGTGTGATACTGTGATGAATGAATACATGTGTGGTATGGAAGCATTTAAAGTGAACGTTCAGGTAATGACATAGTGGAATAATGACAAAACACATTAACAAATTGTTCTGCTAAAGAACAGCCTCACTGATAATATTCATCCTTGCAGGTGATGAAAACCCGCCTGACCCTGAGGAAGACTGGTCAGTACTCAGGAATGTTTGACTGTGCCAAGAAAATCCTGAAGAAGGAGGGAGTGAAGGCATTTTACAAGGGCTACATCCCCAATATTCTGGGCATCATCCCCTACGCTGGCATAGATCTGGCAGTGTACGAGGTACGTGATGATAAATCATTCTCACATGGAAAAACTCTTCTTCCATATGCAACATCATCTCACACACAAACACTTCCCTGTCCTCACCAGAGCTTGAAGAACTACTGGTTGTCCCGCTACGCCAAAGACACAGCCAATCCCGGCATTCTGGTGCTGCTTGGCTGTGGCACCATATCCAGCACGTGTGGCCAGCTGGCCAGCTACCCTCTGGCTCTGATTCGCACCAGGATGCAGGCACAAGGTACAAAGAACCAAACCTCATTCAAAATTCTAGCAACTTTTTATTAAGCACTGTTGGCATATGCCAAGTGTTGCCATGATCTTATCTGGAGGGATTTACACACAGCGTAGGGAATCATTTAATTTCTTTAACAGCTGTTGGATGAGTTTCTTCAGAATTAAATAAAAAATATAGAAAGAATTAAATCAACTGAGTGGTGAATATTACATACTGGTAGAGGAATAACCAGTGAAAAGCACATACTGTAGCTAAAGCAAAGATTGAGTAAACATTATGTTAAAGCAGCTATAATTAATAGTTTTTATATTAACAATGGATTACAGAACTACTTATATGTGACAGAAAATGTCTACCTTGTTGCGTCTTTCAGCTGTTTTGGTTCACTCTCATCTGCACTTCTATTTTCTCTGTTTCACCGCTGCCAAGCTACTGTTTCAGCAAAAAAAAAAAAAAAGCGTGTATACTACCTTCCCAGCACCAAACCACAGTCAAACAAAATAGCCATTAAACATAATGAAGCATTTAGCAGCTAAAGAGAGATATTTTACACAGGAGTTACTGGAGACAAAAAACAAAAGGAGAGTGAATATTGGACATAGATTCCTTAGGGGACCCAACTCATGTCTCTAAATACCTGCTACTGTTGCTCTGTATCTGCTGGACTGATACACAGGTAGCAGTTTAACTTTATTAGGTGATACATTTTACAGCTTGTTTCTGCTGCCCCCAAGTGGCCAAAACCAGTCATTGCATGTTTAATCCAAAAGGCTCATAAATAGTCTTGTGATGGTGTTTGTGACAACAGTCTGGGTGTGTTTCATTACTGCTCGCATTATGGGTTCAAAGATAGCTCATAAACTTTGAGAAAAATGATTGATTGTGATTATTAAATGGGGACAAATATATATGGAGAGAACCTTTGGCATTGCCTGGGCGTTTACTCAAGGACAAATGTTTTGATATGGAATTAAAGCATTGACGTTATTCCCTGACACTGATATATCTCCCTTTGTCAAGAATCCAGCGGTTTCTCTTTTGCTCACTTTCTTTTTTTTCCCTTTTCTCAGCTTCTGTCGCGGGCTCAGAACAGCTGCCCATGAACCTGATGGTGAAGAAGATTCTGGAGAAGGAGGGCTTCTTTGGACTTTACCGTGGCATCCTGCCCAATTTCATGAAGGTCATCCCGGCCGTCAGCATCAGCTACGTGGTGTACGAGTACATGCGGTCTGGCTTGGGTATTCAAAAGTAGGCAGCAGGTTTCTCGGGTGTGTGTGTGTCCGTGAGAGTATAAGCATTTTGCATTATTATTTCAAACTGTTGTGTAAAGAACTTGTTTACCTGTAGGTCACCTAAGTCTGGGCTCAAACTGCGGCAGATGGAGCCACTGTAGAGGTTTTTTAAGTGATTTGCAGGACTTTGGCTAAAGTCTTTATAAAAAAACTAATTGTTTACAACATCCTGCAATGCTCACACGGGGCTGACAATGATTATTCCGACTTCTACAGTGTTTCCAAATGTATGTTGTTTGTCCAACCTGCGTTTAGGATGAACCCACAGATTTATGTACACTCAGGGCCCAGTTTGGGTCTACTGACTTTCAGTGTAATCAACCCAAGATAATGACCCAAGAAGTTGGATAAGAATTGATTTTTGTTTTTGTTTTGTTGAATTGTTCCTTTGGGTAGAAATGTATGTTTTTATAAGAGTCATTTGCACCAGAAATAAGTCACATGTTCCTCTAATAAGGCACCTTATTGCACGAATCCAAAAAATAGCTGAGAATTCACATCCTTCCATTCATTTACAGACACTCGTCCAGCTTTTATATAGTTTCTTTAAAATATTGTGTCAGATGTCCCTTGTGAGCGGCGAGCTGTCTCACTTAGAAATCTGAGGAAACTTTTGAAGTGCAATACTGTATTTACTCTTCGGTGACTCACGTGTTGTTATGAATGAGCCACGGATTTCACCCGTTATGTTGGCTCCACAAATGTCTCCTTTTTACACAGGATGTCATTATTGCACCTTTTTCAGTGAGTTTGGTGAACAGGGGAGTAACGTGCCTTATGTGCTTTTTCTCAGATATCTGTGGACTTTTCACCCTTAATGTTTTGCCTTTCTTTCCAATATTTGGTCAATTAGATGCTGGTGTTTACATTAATAAAAGCATTTGAATACAAATGTGAGATGTTTTGACTGCATTTATTTTCAGTGTTCTACGATTGAAATGATTTTAATGAATATATTTGAGTTTGTGCACAACAAATCAACGCACATAATGAGGGCCAGTTGCCGATCTCAATCCTCTTAAATCTGAAAACTTGACTGTAAAACCTGATGTATTTCTTGGTTCAACAACCGAGGCACAGGCGTTCAGTCGAGCCGTGTGTGTTGTGGCCATTTGATGGTGTGCATTTGTTCCCCTGAGGCTTTAAGAACAGATACTCCAGCTTTACATCTTATGTAATACCTTTTGCCCAGCGATGGTGTAATGCTTCTGACTTTTAGCAGCTGATCCTGGCCACGTAAAAAAAAAAAGGACACAGGAAGAGAGGCTCTGCTAATTTGTAGCATTGCACTAACGAAGAGACTGAAAGAAACATGCTTTCCACATCTCTGGCTGAATTACTCAAAATGTTTAAATAAGCACTGAAGTCAGGCAAAAATGCAGAACATTTACTGGTTAGAGCTTCTCAAAAGTGTTGCCTCCTCTGGGTTTCCTAACTGTTGGTCAGACAATTTTAGGTTCTGGTAAATTGTGACTATAAAAAAAAAAACAGCCAAAAGAAAAACAACAGTGTGTTGAATGACAAAGGTGCATTAATCTTGTTCCACATTTTAGTTTATTTTGTTCTGTTCTTTTGATGTGAGGCATCTGAACATTTCTTATTTGGGCAGCTTTGATTGCGCCCTGATTAGGAGAAATGAAGCACACTAGATGTTAATTCTGTTCTGATTTTACAAAGGCGACACAAAAACCTTAAAGTGTGAAATACACACACAAATAAAAAACATGGTGGCTTTATAGTTTCAAATATTTAAATACTATTTAATCCATGAATATCTTCTTTTCTGGATACATTTCCTTGAGTATCAGAGTACCAAGGAAAGAAAAAAACGCCACAGTGGTGAGGACGGCGCGCAGGGCTTTGAACCAGCTGGGGTACGTGGGCAGCAGAGCCAGATCATAATGCAGTGCGATTCCCAGAGCCATGATAACCATGGTGACCGCAGAAGCAATGTTGTTGCTCATCAGCATGGTCACGCAGGCCAACAGGGAGGGAACCACGCTGTTGGCCAGGTTTATCCAGTCAGGTTTAGCTGGGCTGCTCTCAGGAAGAGCGAATCCCCAGCGAACTCCACCCAGGAAGGAAACAATGGCGGCACCATAAGCTAACTGAGCATAGGCCAACTCCGGACAGTAGCTCTCAGTCACAGCCATGAACAGAGTAGGGGTGACGAAGGGGATCAGCCCTGCAAACCCCAGGTACAGGGCAGGTTTGGGACCTTTCCACAAGTCCTTCATGTCATAGCGTAGCAGATCCAGCTCTCTGGGAGGAGGTTCAGGCCGAGCTCGCTTCTTCAGCCTCGCAGCAGAAGAGTGGAAGTGTTGGTTCCTCCGCAAGAAAGGAGCTGCTTGAGTCTGGGTCCTCTGGAAGAGCTCAAACCTCCCGAACCCGAGGCCAGCAGGAGGTTTCACTTGTCCATTGTTCCTTTCTGAGAACGGCCGTGCTGTTGTAGCTCTGGTCAGGGCTGATGTCCAGCATCTTTGTGGAGGACCAGCCCAATGCAACACCTAAAGAGACATTCATGTTAAAACCTAAACACGTCTTAGTTTCAAAGTAATTGTAAATAAAGGAAATTAAAAATAGTCGTTACCTTGTGGGCTGCAAAGGCGCTTCTTCTAAAAATAACAGAGAGCATCTGATGAAGAAAGTAAAACAGAGATCAGGTTAGACAAAACACACACAATAAAGGCTAATTGACAAGAAAAGCGCATTTGAATATGAATAAAATGTAAAATGGATTAAGGCTGCAACTAACTATTATTTTCCTAATTTATCAATCAATCATTTGGTTTATAAATTGTCGGTTTCCCAAAGTCTAAGTTGACCAACAGTTAAAAACAAAATAATATTCAGTTTACTGCCAAAAGAGATTTAGAGATTTTTATTAATGAAAAGTGCTGCAGTTTAAGAAGATTTTCTGTGTATCAAATAATCAATTAATCTGTTAATCATTCCAGCTCTGAAATTAATATAAAAAGAACATAAAAGACAACAGGGCTGCATGACATGATAAAAACACAATACTGTGAGTTTAACTGAAAAAAACTATTCAAATGATGAAGATGTGAACTGTGTTGGACTCTGTACCAAAACAAACATGTTTTCTTGTATGTGGAGGACAGAAAAAGGACAGTGAATTACCCCAGAAACACTTTCAAATGCTGTTTTTGTCCGCACACATTTTACCTTTATCAAAGAAAGTGCAGCAAACCTCCAGAACAGACTCAGACAGAATAACAACGTCCCACAACCTTATCAAATATATAAAACTATAATCCTGTGACACACACACACTAATATTACCTCTGTTTCAGGTTGAAGATCTCATACTTTAGTCTTGTTATTTATCCTCAGGGGTCAAACACGTTGTTTCGCGCTCTATTCCTTCCGTGTTCACCAAAGTCCTTCAACTACAGTTCCACTAGAATACAGCTGGGCAAATAAATACAAATAACTCGACAAATTAACTTTCTACAAACGTAGACGTGCATGGTGCTAATTTTAAACTAAGTACGCGTTGTTCTTATTTATTTTTTTATATTGTATTTTTTTTTTTTGTGGCTAAGATCACTGAAGACGGTCATCGATTAGCAGGACTGATTACCGATCGCATCGTTCAGTCTGTGACGTATCAATCCATCAAATTCACTTAATTAATTCATTAAAAACAAATAATATATATAACAAATACATGTAAATATAAATAAAAAATGGATTAATATAATAGGATGATTTAATTCAATCGCTATTTAAATACCTGAAAACTTTGTTAGGGTTTTATTAGTTCATCATGAAATAAAAGAATATAAATTTAATTTGTAAATGTATTTGTCTTTTCTGCAGGTTTTTTATACACAGGGCAGTTTCCCCCCGGAAACCCCTTCAGAAATCGTCAACTAAACTACACTGACTCAAATAAACTACACAGTCTCTGATTTCCCTGTAATTAGTACCAGATTATATAATTATGTTTCATGAATCATCTAGGGAAAATGTTGAACCGTAAAATAAAGTGTTTAATTTACTGATATAAGTGAAACTTTGGTGGAGAAATGTCCTTTATAATCTTTTTGGATCAGATATATGACAGAAGGCCACATGACATGATTAAAGATGTCAAAGAACACCACACAGGACCTCTTTGAAATATAACTAATTCTTTAATAATCAATTAAACAGTATCTCAGTATATATATATATATATCAGTAATTCACAGACTTGTAGAAAGATATACTGTAATAACACATCAGACAAGTTAAGGTCTATGTTCTGAAAGTGTGTTTAAAAGTTTTAAAAAAGCTCAGTGACAATTACTACAGTGAGTAATTTGGCAAAAGAATATCATATGACCATTGATAACAAGATTTAAGATATAAATTGTATTGATGGTGTACACTCATCAGGCTCATGATTACAACACCAAAATGCCCAACAGGGGGCAGTCATGCAACAGAAATATCTTATATGAACAGGTTTGTTTATTTAAGTCTCACTGGATAAGAACAAAAACAATATTTAAAGCAACCCATCTGCTTTTTATACATATATAAAAAATAGGATATTTACTCACTACCTCTGGTAAGTGGAAAAAAAACAGATACAAAAATATAGCAGGAGGAAAATAATTAACTACAGTAGTTAGTGTTGGAAATAGAGCCAAAAAATGGCTGCAGAGACACATTTCGATTTATTAATGAGAATATCGAGTTATATATTTAGTTATATAAGTTATATATTGTGTAAGTGTTTGCTAGAGAGTAAATGGGAAACCCTTAAAATTGGAGCTCTGTCATTTCACCATTGTTATTACACAATGTAATCAATGAGCTCGTATCGCAAAGGCATGAAGCAAAGAAGCAACTGTCATCCTCAGAAGAAATACAGGGAACAGCCAATCTTCAGACTCTCGCAGGAAGTGCTCAGGAGGCTTCATTGCTCTGAAAGACAAATATTATCAACATCTTCATGTGTTTTACTTTGAACATGGAATCCTTCTCTGTTTACTAACACCAATCCCAAAGCTAAAAGCAGTTACATAATTCACTGGATCCCTGTTAATGAGTTATTGTCAGCTAACTCCCAGCAGAAAAATTGTGTCACAATATTAAAAAATCTATTATCTCCCAGCAATATCTTTTTTTTGTGTGTGTCTGCGATTTTAGTACTTTTAGGTAACTTAATGGACTACTGCTACAGTTTTACAGATACATAAATAAACTATTAATATGTAAAACATCATAATTAATACTGTTTATAATAATAATATTTTCATAAACAGACTAAAGTGAACTCATCTCAGACTATACTAACCCCTCCACAGCAGCCACAGCAGTCCCCACACAGAGCTCCCAGCAGGCCGTTCACCACCTGCACAGCACACAGTGCCATCTGGATTAAACCAATGACCAGCAGCGTAGAGAACAGACCGAGATGCCAGGACACAATGTTAGTGGGCTCTTTACAAACTGTCCAGAGAGATTTGTTGGACAGGTAGTCACTAGAAAAGGAGGGTGAAAAAGAGACAGGTTTTTACTTTAAACCGGTGATAAGTGAGCACACTGGTTTACAGTCACTGTGCAGCAAAGGTAGCACCAATAAAACATCTTAACATGAGATACAATGCAGTCAAGGGATGTTAAAATGCCCAGTTTAGAGAGTTGGTTCACATAAATTACAAAAGAAATCAGTCTCTCAGATTTCTGCCTCTTCTTCAATACGACAGCAGTCAGTTGAATTCTGTTTGTTTGGCTGAATAGACTAAAATATTTAGTGTGAAATTTTCTTAACTTTGGAAATAGTAGTTTGTGGTTGGCTACTTTCGAAACATGGCAGCTCATTCTAAGGTAATAAAACAACGACGATTCCTATATTCAGGTGAATAAAGGCTAATGAAAATATACCTATGAATATTATATTCCATGTCTGCCAATAGATCCTCTGAAATGTTACACACTGCACCTTTCAGAAAAGATGCTTGTTTAGTTTTTTGCAGAGAGCTGGAAGCTGGAAGTCGATTAGCTTAGTTTACCATAAAGACTAGAAGCAGGGGAAAACAGTGTGGCAATGTTTAAAGCTGAAAAATACACCACCAAGTATATTTAAAGCTCACTAATTAAAACATTAAATCTCTATATCTGTATTTGTTTAATCCGTACAAAAACAGAAATGAAGTGAAGATATAATTTTGGGGTTATACAAGGGGTTATGTGCCTGATTGTTTCTTGCCTAGGAGTGACTTTAGCATATTTTTTTAACTATAAACAGAGCCAGGCTGGCTGTACCCCTCTTAATACAGCAAATAAGCATATTTCCCACAAAGGAAAAAACTATTCCTTAAATAAAAACTAATTAAGTAAAGTGAAATCCAAATGAGAAAATACGTGGAGTTATTTCTAAGCTACTGAAAATGCAAAAAAAAAAGCTAACCCTGACACTGAAGGAAACTACATTCCCCGTACATCTTTGCATTGGTGATCAAGCAGGTCATTTAGGATGTGTTTCAATACTTTATATAGTTGTGTCTCACCCATTTGAGAAGGGAGTGGTCCACAACTTTTCTGTGCCGTTAAGAGCAGTCACACACTCAGGTCCGTGGTTTATGCCTACAGCAGAAACTATAACTGAGTAACCGGCCCCCAGAACCCCCACAGCTGCAAAAATTATGGAACTCAGCATCTAAAGAGAGAGAGAAATAGAGGAGAGAACAGTTACTCTTATTGGGAATCAACACCTTTAACAATCTTGCTTTGAACTTGACAACAATGAAGTTATTCTCTCAGTGTGCAGAGGACTGGCTGAGGGTCAGGGCACGGCCAACACAGAGCTACTGAGATGATGCTGTGTGTGTGTGTGTGTTTGTGTGTGTGCTGTAATCTGACAGACTTTTGTTTGCTGATTCTTTCCTGGACCTCCACACACACACACACCTACACATTCCTGAAGTATCGATCAGTATGTGTGTCTGGACCAGAACAATACTGGTTCTGTGTGATAAAGTCATGTGAAACTCCCATCGGAGGAATTACTTGTTACAGTGATCGAAATCACATCAATTTGTCTGTGTGTGTGTTTTTGGCATTTATTGCTGTGTAAATTATACAATGTGTGTACATAGTATCATTGAGTTTGTTTTATATGCTCAGAGTGATTAGACTTTAGACTGGTGACATACAGTAGAACCTTTGGATGAGGTGGGATGAGACTCAATTTCATTTTCAGGATCATTTTTATTTAAAAGTTACTGCCGTTTTAATGTTCGATCCTCTGTGTTTTATTTATTTATTCTTTGTTAGGCTACTCATAAGCCTCATCATTTAAAAAAAACAACTTATTTTTACCCCAGTAGAAAAAACTAAGAAGGAATAGAATAGAAACGTTGCGTTTTTCACATTTGATGCTCAGTATATACTTAATAAAGTAACTTAATAATACTTAATATGTAATATAAAGACAAAAATCCTTCACAGTAATAAAAAAAGAAAAACAAACCGTAACTTAACTTAAATTCTTATGTGTAATTTATATTTTATTACTCACTCCACCCAGATTTCTTCAAATAAAACACTAATTAATTGCAAGGACTTAAAAAAAGTACCTAATTGCCATTTGCAATATGTTTTAGGTGGTAAATATCCAAAACAATGAGCTGCCAAAACACAGAAGTCCTTTCACTCCAATTAAAGATGTTTACACAACACATTTGGGGAAAATGCAAATTCTTCTTCCTGCACAGATGTTGCTCTCTGGCTGACTGCCTGCACACAAGCAGAAAAACACTCTTTGGGTGTCTTTAGGTGTCACATGACCACTACACAGCCTGATCTACATGAGCAACAAGCTGGTTCAATAGGCCCTTTTTCACTGAAGACATTTCGACATGTTACCGGAGGAAAAACACATGTATAAATAATAAAATGAAAGATTGAGTACCATTAATCTGCTTCAATTATACCGTCTTGGAATTGTGCATGCAACAATTGTTAAGCCTTTAAACCATCTTGTTTATATTAACTTCTAATCCTCAATGTTTTATTGAGCCTGACTAAATACTTGTCTAACATTAGATTTTTGCTTCTGTATAATCACTTTGGGACCCATTCTAACGTTCCTGTCCTTGGACCCTTTGAAAGCCACAGCTATGAATAATTATTTCATTATGGGGACAAGTTAAACAGTGAAACATCTTCTCACCGCAAATCTCCGCCCACAGCTTTCGTTGCCACAGCAACCGCAGCAGTCATTGTTCTTCAGACCAAGGAAGACCAGAGCTGGGAAGATCATCTGCCGCCCAAACACACCCCAAGTTCAAACACACACAAACAAATATGGCACAAACAGTTGAGCAGATGATTAATTATTTGTTCCTCTTCTGTTTGCAGTGGAAATTGAACTGCCTAATGTCCCACGATAATCATTAAGGTATTATGTAACTGGTACCTCAATAGGGCCATTTGTTAAAGTGGCAGCAACTTTCAACAGGAGTTACACATTTTTCCATGAGAATAATTTAAAAGATGCTAAAATAACATCTATAATTCTGAACATAACGGCTTAATTCATATGTTCTTTAAGAAGCATTTCTATGATAATGTTTTGTTGCATTTCCAATATTTATAATGTGAACTAGCTCGACCGTACAAGATCATTACCTCCTACAGGTGTGAATTGTGTGTATACATTTTAGAGCTGAAACAATTATTGATTCATTTATTATATATAATATAATTAATATCAGGCAAAAACGCTAACATTTCCTCAATTACAGCTTCTTTAATGGGAGAATCTTTTCTGATAGCGTACTGAATATTTAGGTTCTGGATTGTTCAGACAAAACAACCAATCTGACATTACCTTTGGATTGTTTTGCTATTTTCTGACATTTTGTAGGATTAATGGATAAATCGAAGACATAATGTGTGTTATTTATAATGGATGTCATCGTGATGCCACAATGCCCTACATATCATGTGCTATAGTGGCAACATATACAATTTGAGAAACTATAGCATCAGAATAATCCATAAAAGCTGTCTTCAGTAATGATGATGAAAAGCAGCAGATATTGCGCAGTGTGCATCTTCTACTAGATAAACGTGAGCTGATAGTGGCACAGTGCATTTTACCAGCTATTACTGTCAGTGTTGTAATTTTAACATACTTACCAGCACTCCAGATCCCAGGATGCCTCCAAAGTACCAGACTTGCTCTGTGATGTGTTCGCTGTCTACGGACTGTCCCCCGGGGAAGAACAGCAGGATGTTACACAGCACAGACACAATCGCCAGAGGCATCAGACTGATCCCCAGACACTTGGCAAAGCCGCCTGAACACATTCTGACACTGATGTTTCAACCTTCTCTACTAGTAACAACTCCTTGGGTTTTAAAAGTATTTTGTGGGCTTCAAAACCTCCACTTAGATTGATCTTTCCGTTGAATGATATAAAAACTGACAAAAGCAAGGATGTCTGAGTTTAGACTTAAATCTGGTCCAGTCTCCACGTCGGTTAGGTGAGAATAACACTCCACCTGTTGGCTTTATATTGATCCTCAACTGCAGCTTCCCAACACCTCCTGACAATTTTCCTTACACCTCTTAAGCTGTTTCTTCAAAAAAGCTCTGTCCACTCTACTGAATCTCCCGAATGAGCCTGTCCGCCTCACCTGTCCTGTTTCTTAGGATGGTTGAGATAACAGTTGAGCCTTTATACCCCCCCCACCCCACCCTGCCTGTCTCTCTGAGTCACTGCTTCACTTTTACTGCAGCCAGTTATAACATGGCAGGAGCACACACAGAAACACACACTTGTGACTGCATGCAAACACACACACGGAGCCATTAATGCAGGATTACATATACCTGTGTGTGCACACGGACACACCAATGAAGACACTGGTTAATGTTCTACCATGTGTTTTGTGTACATGGAGACAGAAGAGGAAGTGACAGACAGTTGGTCGATAGGCCCTCATGGCTGATCTGCACCCACCACTGGTTTAGTGAGTAATACTTCCACATTAGGACTTGTCTAATGTACAGTTCAGCTCTGGATGAATTAAAATATATAATGTTTCATCATGTGTTATAGAATGACAGATGTGAGAAGTCTGAGAGTGGAACATGATGATTGTAGGTAATGTCTTCATTTATCACAATAACAAAAAACAACCTGACCATAAACCTTCTTTTAATACATGTATGTCCTGTAAGCTTGTGTAAATATTGATTAAAAATTAAGGAATCCGTCATAAAATCATTAATTTTTAAAATTATTTTATTTGCTCTTTGTGTGACAAAAAAGATACACCCAAATGAGTCATTAATCTATCGATACATTTCTCAATACTGTCTGGCAGGAGATACTTTAGTATTAAGTCCAGTGTAATCAGAATGAACAGTTTCTACTGCCTTTTTCTTTATGCTGGTATGTTTTGTCTGTTTGCTTGTTTTTTGCCCCTGTCTTAAATACATTACATCTAATTTCTATACTATATCTATAACTATAGGCTATCTCAATTTGGGGTGAACTAGAAGAAAGAGGAAGATAAGATAAAATAGACTTTATTGACACAACTCTGGGGAAATGAACTTGTTTCTGCAGCTCCAGTTACAACACAACACATTACATAAGAAAATCTACATTATATAAAAACAAAATAAACATTATAACAATATGTAATATATAATATATAAAAACAAAATAAATATTATATATACATATAACATTAAAGATGTCATAGATTGCAGATGTGATTGATATGGTCACAGCAGGAGGTGTAGAAATAAATATAATTTCACAGGACAAAAATAAACTTACTTAGGTTATTGTTTTATTCTATCTTTAAGTTTAGCTTTAGGGACTGATGGTGGTTCTTTAAAAGTTTGCCCCATTAGAGCATCTTTAAGGTATCACTGTCCACATCTCTGACAGTGGTTGTGAATGAAAAATAAAAACAATAGTAGCTTATCCCATCATTATCCTATTAAATTATTCACGGCCTCATAACGGCCTAAAAATAAAAAAAACTGAACTGACAGAACAAGTAAAAATGTAGGTTTATGTACATTAATATCTGCTAATGAAACTTCAGCATCCATCGATGCGATCTGTCATCCGCTTCTCTTTGCTTCCGTCTGAGTTGAGCCAAACTCAATCGATGCCCGATGCGGCGTTATTATCTTTGCTGAAAACTAAAACGGGATGGATACCGACCTGACTTTCTCCTCTCGTCGGTCTCCTGTGGTGTGTTTACACGGCTGTGCATCGTCCAGCCAGCCTCTAGCTTCAAGCATAGGACTGGGTGAGTGGAAAACTGTTGCCGTGGAGATCTAACTAGAAAGTGAGGCAGCAGGATGACTCCCGAGAAAGTTTCATGGTTTTCTTTATTTCTTCCATTTAATATTGTTATTTATTTATTTATCTCAACTCATAAAGCTAACTGAACTGGAGGACCAGAAACACAGGTGCCTCTGAGATTAGAGACAGAAATGGACCATTGACAGTATAGGTTATAAGAAATGGACACACACACACCCACAAAATAAGTTTGTATTACTTTATTACTTATTATCTATTTTTTCTACTTTATTTTAAGTTTTTCTCTCTTACTAATCAGAATCAGAATCAGAATTATGTTTATTGCCAAGTAGGTTTTTACACCTAAGAGGAATGTGTCCTGGTGCAATTGGTGCATAAAATATACCAACACAAATATACAAATAAACAAATCACACAAAAATCACACAGAAAAATAAAGTACTTTCAGAATATAAATGAATAAAGATAAGAAAGATAAGA